CATATTGCCATCAGTCATCGTTGGAGAGGGTCGGTAGAAGATTGTCGCTCATTCTGGAGTACCTGCTTGGACTCCGACCATGCCCTAATACGGGCACGCATCTGCTTGCGCCTCACTGGACGCAAAAAAGCCACATTAAAAAGACCCATTAGAACTGAGTTGAGTAACGAGAAAACCAAAAGTAGGTTCCAGGAACAACTGAGGTCACACTTAGGTAGTTGAAGACGAGGCTGACCCAGATGTTGCTTGGAAAGATACAAGCAGCTGTGGAAACAGCAGTGACATCTATTAGCGACTTAAACCACAGAGTTACAAAGAACCAGTGGATTTCTTCAAAGTCTATCACACTGATGGATTCTCGCAAACTCGTCCCATCAGGTTCCGAACATGATGAAGAGCGAAAACAAATCAGATCTAGGTTAAGAAAAAGTCTAAGAACGACCGTGAGCAGTGGTGGGCAACGAAAGCAAAAGAGATGGAAAAGGCGGCAGCTTTACAGACTAATAAAAGAAACTGGAATTAATAAGTCAAGTGTAAGTGAGATTATTTCGGAAAAAGCGATACTCTCATCTGCTCCCAGTCCAGACGTTTAGAACGATGGGCGGAACATTTTAGAGAACAGTTCAGCTGGCCTTCAGCTACTCTACAACTACCCTCCATTCCCAGACAGTGTAATGGAACATTGAAGTAGGTCCCCCAACTCTTGCTGAAGTTCAAAAGGCTATAGTTAATCTGAAACGAGGAAGGGCAGCTGGTCCAGATGGACTGGCTCCAGAGGTCTTTAAGGATGGTGGTCCAATTTTAGCGATTAGGTTGACTAATATTTTAGCTAAGATCTGGGAATTAGACGTTATCCCATCTGACTGGTCACAATCACTTATCGTCCCAATATATAAGAAAGGGTCAAAATCATCCTGTGACAACCACAGAGGGATTAGTTTAACTAATATAATATCTAAAATACTAGCCTCGATAATTATCAGACGCCTAACTAAGACTCGTGAACTGCAAACACGAGAACACCAAGCTGGCTTTAGACCTGGTCGTGGCTGCATCGACCACATATTCACCATTCGTCAGGTTCTAGAACACAGGCATACTTATCGGCGTCCGACAATGGTGGTCTTTCTTGACTTAAAAGCAGCATTTGACTCTGTAGACCGCGAGATTCTGTGGCAGTGTCTGTCATTGAAAGGCGTACCTCAGAAGTACATAAACCTTGTGAAGGCTCTTTACTCGAACACTACTAGTCGAGTCAGAGCTTATGGCGAACTGTCATCTACTTTTGCAACCTCAAGTGGTGTCCGTCAAGGCTGTCCACTTTCCCATTTTTGTTTAACTTCATCATAGACCTATTGATGGAAATAACTTCTCGTCGACTGAATTCTCGGGTATTGATCTCCTTCCAGGAGGTCCACTTATCGACTTAGAATACGCAGATGACATAGTCCTGTTTGGTGAAGACGCTGACAAAATGCAGAGTCTTCTGGTAGCACTAAGCAACAATGCCAGAATGTTTGGAATGCGCTTCTCTCCCTCTAAATGCAAGTTGTTGCTTCAGGACTGGTCTGCGTCAACACCTGAACTAAGGATAGGGAGTGAAGTAGTCGAACGCGTTGACAACTTCACTTATCTTGGAAGTCTGATCAGCCCTAATGGGTTGGTGTCTGACGAAATCTCAGCACGGATTCGAAAAGCTCGTTTGGCTTTTGCCAACTTACGTCACCTTTGGCGAAGGCGAGATATCCGTCTATCAATAAAAGGACGAGTATACTGCGCGGCAGTCCGTTCTGTTTTACTTTACGGCAGCGAAACATGGCCTTAAGAGTAGAAGACACTCGTAAGCTACTAGTATTTGACCACAGATGCCTTAGAAATATTGCTGGCGTCTGCTGGGATCACCGGGTAAGTAATAGTGAGGTTAGACGCAGGGTATTAGGGAATGATGGTAAATCAGTTGATGAGGTTATGAATCTTCATCGACTGAGATGGTTGGGCCACGTGTTACGTATGCCTGAACACCGATTACCACGACGTGCAATGCTAACCGGTGTTTGGGATGGTTGGAAGAAAGTTAGGGGCGGCCAAACCAAAACGTGGCATCAGTGCTTGAAGTCACTAACTTCTAGTCTGAGCCATGTTGGTAGATGCAGACTACTTGGTTGGGGTCCGCGTGACTTTCGTAACCAATGGTTGGAGACTCTTGGTGACATGGCTCAGAATCGATCACAATGGCGTCGGTGTATACACTCCCTGTCTTCCCTTAAACTAAGAGATTAAAATCACTTCATATCTTTCTTTCTACGAACCAATTCTTTCTTCTTGTACTATATCTCTATATGCAATCTTCCTCTTATTTATTACCACCTTTGACCTAACCACTGCTATGAATCCGGTGTTCATCTTGTTGTGCTGATGCGGTATGGCAACCTGGACCGATGCACATATGTGCCTGGTCCTACGTTGTAGCTGACTGAAACAGCAAACCGGAGAAACACCTACCTATTCATATTCGATAATTTTGATGTTTGATTACATTTCCTTGAAATAGCTTGGACCATATTGCCAGGTGAAACGTTGGATTTACTCCAAATTCATTCTCTGAGATTTTACAAATACATTCTTCCTTTTTAAATCTATAATGTCTTAATGTAGCCAAAAAAACTACTGATGACTGCAAGGATATATGAGTTTCCCTCTGATTTATGAAATTAAACTGTATATATAATTTAAAAGTTTCATGCCTGATCTAACAACATTTGGTGATCTTCGAAGAATTTGTTTTGTAGGTGTCAAACTCTTCATGTTAAAACTAAGTGATTGGAATGAATCACTTTTGAACCACATGCTGAAAACTCATTTCTTATGGAGAAACCTTAGGGATCAAAATAAATCAGCATTTTCCAATACTCCTTAATTATAACAGCCGTTTTCAAACAATTCATTTGCTATAAATCATGAGTAAGATTCTTCTGTCTACCGTCAGCAAACATACTCTCATTACGCTATGTTAAGTAAAACGTATTATAAATGTGATCATTGAAATAAACCATATGCTGGAAAATCAACAAGCCAATGTCAAAATTCTCCGACCTATTTTCCAACATAATCCATAATTTAGGGAAAATCTGATCTGATAAAACCAATTTGATATCAGATGTTGCTAAGAAAAAAATATTTTCAACAAAAAAATCAACTGAGAATAATTGTTTACAGTAATTTCATGTTTTAGCTTGATAGTTAGATATTGAAAATTATTTCTATTACTAGAAATGCTTATCTCTAATTCTGTCTCAATTTTATCTACGGCCTCTCTTTTCATATCATTAGAATCATTTTAAATTAGTTTATTCTCGCTAGTATTGCTATTTACGAAGATATTTTTGATGAAAGATCTGTATGGTTTGAAGTTTCCCTTTTATCATAAATAGATACCGCTTCCAAATCTATGTGTTAAATAATCGTTATTTTACATATTTTAAGATCTCTATGTAGTACCCATCAACAATACCAAACATGATTGAGCAAATGACATCAAATTTTTTCGGTGATCATCAAAAATTAACTGTTGACTGTTCTAGAGTTTCAAAGTGGGACGATAGATGTTCTAATCTTTCTCATTTTCAGTGACTCAACGGCTGATTTCCATCTTTATAGTCATATTTCTGTTACAACTGCCTCTCTTTTTTTATATTATATCCATATTGTTCTAGTCTGTTGATTTGCATACATCGACTTATAGTTTTCGCTTGTTATAAAAATAACACATATATTGAATACTGTCTATTATTTTGATCTTTTAGTTTAATAAGTAACTCATTTTGTAGTTATTTGAGTTGTTCAAAGTATGAAATTCAAGAAATAACATTCAAATCTTAGATCTACTTAACGTTATGAATGTATGTGCTGATTATTGTAGTGTATGTACAATCAATACATAGATGAGTGTATTTTCGACTAGGATCGACGTCATCATCGTTGTCGTCGTGTTTCGGGAGTTAATAAATCTTCACTTGTACCAGTTTTGTGTACATACTTTCGCGTCGTGAAAACTGTACAGATCCCTTATTTCAAGTATTAAATGATAACTGTTTCCAACACAACAATCAACAACAATCAAACATAACAAGTAGCATTAAACGACAAGACATATCAGTATAACAAATAGTTCTTACAAATTCAAAGATTTCTATGTACTTGATCATTGTAAATAATTGCACAAAAAGAAGAATTTATTTAAATAAAGCATGAACAATTTTGATGCAGAATAATATGAATTCACTATATTTCGTGGTTTGTCGTCAGTTGCTTACAACCAAATATGTAATAGAATTTTACATTGAGATAAGAAATAATGTGAAACAATTGACAAAAGTGAATGTAAATGATTGGAATGACATAGGTTTACAATAATAGCTACATATATATAAGCAAGAACGGGTCAGAGGTTAATCGGTGTTGGAATTACGGAATCAATTCAGGGTGGGTGGTGTAATGGTTGAGTGGAGTTCATAAATTGTGTGCTAATTTTAGAAGTATTGAAGGCTTCATGGAATTAAACAGTGATAAGATAGGTTACGTAATAATTGAACAGAATTTGAAAAGTTAACATAATTTAAGAGGGTAAGTGGACGGAAATGTGTGAATGAAAAATTGGTTTAAGAATTCGGTAATGGGGTGGGGGAACATAACACAATAAATATTTTAAAAATAAATAATTCGATGAAATAACACAAATAACCAAAAAAAAAGAACAATAAAAACGGATTACCAAGGTAATATAATAAGTTTACTAATGTCTCTTTTTGAATACATAAATCCAGTCTAAGTTTTTTTTTATCACGATCACTTCAGCAAAACGGAGAGCAGTCGTACTTCTTTGTCTGCTGATAATTTTAAAAGCGTGCGGAATGTCGATGGTATACCCGGTATCAATTTATTATTATTTATTTTTTCTGTTTTCCTTTCTTTCTTTTTTTTTTCTTTACATCATTCATTAGGTAAACCTGTTTTAATAAATAAACCAAATGAAAAAATGATTCTTAAATTTGAAAATGTTCATTTATTAAAACAAAACACAACTCATCAACAAGATAACATTGAAAATTTCTTACAATACACTATACATATAATTCCTGATAATAATAATAATAATAATATGAATTGTACATTTCTATCCAGTTTAACATCTGATGTTCAATGGTTATTTCAAAGTGATCAAACAATAAATGATTTCAATAAACATATAATGATTGATCGAAATCTATTAAAACAATGGACAAATAATTATTTAATTAAAAATAAATTTGGTTTATGGAAAATTGTAACATCATTAAATTTTCAATTCAATTCAATTATATTATATATAAAGAATTCATTCAATAAAATAATGAATCAATTAAATCATGAATACCCTAATCAATTCATTCCATATAATTGGGATTATTATGTATTAAAACAATTCATTGAATTTATAATTATTCTTCAATTTCAAGGTGATTATTTATGTGAATTAACAAATTCAATAGGAATTGAACATGGATTAATTAATTTAATGGTACAAAGTGAGTAGAATGGATTTATTTTGTTAATTGATTAATATATTGTTATCATTTGTGACCTATGTACTCTATTCATGTATAATGTAATGATATAGTTTTTATATTGTAAATGTTAAGATTGTATCAATAGGTCACAAAATATAAACAAGAGGAAAACTAAAGTTCTCAAATACAACACGGAGAACACCAACGATACTAATTATACTTCATGGCGAAACACTGGAAGATGTAGAATCCTTCATATACCTGGTAAGAATTATCAATGAACAAGGTGGATTGGATGCAGACGTAAAGGTGAGGATTGGCAAAGCAACAACAACATTCCTACTATCGAATAATATATGGAACTCAAAACAACTGTTTCTCAACCAATATCAAAATGACAATCTTCAATACGAACGTCAACACAGTTCTGCTGTACGAAGCTGAAACTTCGACAACTACTACAACCAATAACAAGAAGGTGCAAGTATTTATAAATAGTTGTCCACGTGAGATACTTAATGTCCGTTTGTCGGATATCATCAGCAACAGCTTACTGTGGGAGAGAACAAACCAGCTTCCATCTGAAGAGGAAATGACAGAAAGACTCTGGGAGTGGATAGGACATACATTATGGAAATCACCAAACTGCATCACGAAGCAAGCGCTAACTTGGAATGGTGAAGTTATGCAAAGTTACATTTGGTAACAGTCAAGTTTTGTTTGTTCAGTTAGCTATGAATTGATTAATATCAGTTAAAGTATTCCCACTGAATATTACGTTGTTTCAGCATATATTAGCATCAAACAATTTTAATTTTACTTTAGGGGATTGATCGAGATGTTAGAATTGTCACTGTTTAGATCACAAAGTGATCTTAGACAGACTACTGTCGAACGCTTGTAAGTACCGGACGGTCATTTCGTCATAGTATGACAGTCTTAAACAATACGCATCTGTAGCTCAACATCCGCAAATGGAACTCAGAATATTCAATCTCGCATACGAATGCCTAAGCTCTAGATCGGTGGGCCAGTATCCAATAGTGTTAGTGTCTATCCTCAACCAATTTTTAATATTTCACAACCTTGACCCACTGCTAATCATGTGCTCACAAGTGACTAGTTTCAAGATGTAACACCCAAAGTTCTAGTAAGAAGTCGTAACCACTGGAGCTCAACCATATTCAATGCAAGACGAATATCCACAATACAAGCGAGACTGAAGGTCCTAACTTCGAGTGCTGCCTGTGGATTAGTGAGTTCGCGCTGCTGAAAAGTATCATAACTGAACGAAACAGATGTCCTGCGCCCTCGCATTTACAATAGTGGTCGGGTTAAGATTGGTTCTTAATTTAAATCCTAATTTTAGTTTTAAAAAATGCTGGTCATACATGCTGAGCACTGAAGGAAATAGCTCAACGTCATAAACGATTATGGATAATGAGAAATTTTTACAGTAAGTTGCTGGGGAGACATTAGTCTCCATTTCTTTGACATACTTGAGTAACTGACGCACAATCGGAGGCTGAAACATTGATCTTTCGACACCATAGTCAAAAACACAATGAATCAGTCATGTAAGCTAATGGTTAATGTTAGTAAAAAAAGGAGAAACCTGGAGTTTAGCCACCAATTTTATTCAGAGCTAATCCGTGTCGGGTAGAAACATCTGTCTACCTCAGTACAATCGAAGATGGTCACGCAATTTCGTGGATTGGTTGGGGTTAGACATTAACACCACTGGATGCCGGTCGGCTCAGTGGTCTAGTTGGTTAGGCGCCTGGCGCGAGACTGATGGGGTCTGGGTTCGAATCCCGTGGGGTGGGGAGTCATGGATGCGTACTGCTGGAGAGTCTCGTACTAGGACGAAACGACCGTCCCGTGCTCTCAGGTTTTCTATGGTGGTCTAGCTTCAATTGACTCATGATTTCAATCAAAAATAAGTATTTTAACAGCATTACTGAAGCTATCAACTTCGGGAGTATTGTCATGAAGTTGAATAAGACTTATACATTTATGTGTGATATCAAAATGTTCGATGATTTTAAGGTTGTTTCTACAAGGAGTTGACATCATTCCAGTAACTATTAGATATTTTGTCTTATTTCTAGAATCATTATTAATGTGCATCAGCGACCTCACAAAAAATAAAGTTTATTACTTTTATTTCTTCAGGAAACCATATAGCCCTAAGACCATTGGGCGATGAGGTATCATCGGCAAAAACAGCCGGGTGTAGCTTTCTAGTTTTCAGTGGTTTACTAGATGCTATCACTCTTTAAATAATGCTATCTTCAAAATAAGATTCACTTTAAAGTCATTTCTTTTACTACTGATTTTTTTTAGAATCACCAAGTTCAATTATCAGCTTCAGTGAAGCAATATCAATCTCTATTAGCGAGCAAACCGCACATCGGTATAATGAAAATGAAATCAAATTACATGGCCCACTGTTTTGTCAATTCTATGGTAAACCAGTTTTAAATCAAATCAAATGGTGGAGATATACAGGATTAAATTATCATGAACAAAATACGCCAAATCAATGGGAACTAATTTATAAAACTGAAAACTTTAACGAATCCATTCATATTGAAGTATGTATGTTTTTTATAATCATCATTTTTACAGAGTTAATATTAGTAGATTTAAAAGTGCTTTCCTATTCAGTTGATCTCATTGAAGAGTCTATAAAACCATGTTGGTAATATTGATAAGTATGACAGCAAAATGTTTGCCAACTAAGACAGATAGTTTACAATTCAATCTGTTCATATTTGTTCCTACTATTTGTTAATCCCATCCGAACTAGTGCTTATCGTTAGAAATAAGGAAAATAAGTCTCATATACTTTAGGACTATTCATGGGTTAAATGTGTTAGGCTTACAAGTAATGTTAGGTAAATATTATTTGACACGTATTAAAGTGTGGTCATTTCACTGATTTACTGAAATCGGCTGACCTGCAGTAAGGATCTACCATCTAGTTCACTAGCGTATACAATCTATTTATCCAAAACATACTTACTAATTAGATAACTTATATCGTTTGAATATCAATAAACTCTAATGACTCGATTTATTCTACGTAACTACATCTAGCTACTTGGTATCATTCATGATTAGATGTCACTGCACTACGTAAAATCGGATTAAAGAAAAGTAAGTGAAATTTAATATCTATTTGAACACCATGGACTTAGGTTTCGTACTATTAGGCACTCATCAGCAAGGTTTACTTGTAATCTTAAAGAACTTGTTGTTATCTGATAGATTCGATATCTTATCACTAAGCTTCACAGTCAGAGACATCATCAATGAGCTGTCTGGGATTTAATAAACTTTCTGAAGGACTAAAATGTATTTATAATTGATTGATCATTGGTAGTGACCAACGTCAGGCATGTCACGTCTTTCTTAGTACTGTCCATAAAATTGCAGTGTGACCACTAGTCTAGGACACTAGAAATCGAGTGCATTATGGTGAGATGTGAGGTGATGGTTGTGGTGCCAACAACACAAAGCCAAGGTCTAAGGTCTCGTTCCGACTACTATCCAGCGATAAACTAGAATGAGTTGACATTTTCCATTCGACCAAATAAACCTAAAACTAATCATTTATAAATGTACCATGTACAATAAAAACCTCATGAGCTTTACTGATAGAATAAATGCTCGAAATTGTTACTTCCTAACAGTCAGAGTTTTTGGATGTATGGGAGTCAAAACCATCACCATTTCTTCATTCAAATGGGCTATTTAACTACTTATATTTTTTTCAGTAGCCAGGAAAGATCTTTAGTGTTTTCATAATTAGTTATACATTTTTTCAGGAAACATCTAGTCTACTAATTATCACCGGGAATCCAGCATTCATCACTTCATCTAGATTTAATTTCAATATGGATGGAAGACAATCAAGTTACGAGGTTCTTGTCCGCAACCTGGAAAAGATGACTTATCGATTCACGATGTTCACAATGCTGTGGTTGAAGAAATTTAATCATAAAGATTATGGATATTATAAATGTCAGTCAAAAAATGAAATAGGCAGTATTTCTGAAATTCGTCAATTCCAGAAACCAAGTAAGGTTGTTTTTTCGAATTCAAATAGTATGAACTATTTTTAAATAAGTGTTAATTATGCACAACTCCGCCTGTAGCTCTTCTAGAGTTACTGCCGGTCCCAAGCCCGGGTAAAGGAGGAGGGTTGGGCATGGGGTTAGCGTCCCCATCCCGTAGAAAACTAACTCGCTAAAAAAACGCTTACCAGAAAAAATAATTCAAACCATTTAAACTCTGCCCTGGGAGTTAGAAGGTCTTCAGTTAGAAGAATTATGACGCTTCATGGTGAAAGCCGAGTTCCTTCGGAAGCCACGAGGCCGATGCCCCTTCTAACAACCAGAGCAAAAATTTTTATAGGTACATGGAACGTTCGAACAATGTGGGAAACCGGGAAGACCAGTCAAATAGCAATGGAAATGAGGAGATACAACTTAGCAGTACTGGGAATCAGCGAAACCCACTGGACCCAAGCTGGACAGAAAAGGCTAGCTACGGGAGAGATGCTGCTATACTCCGGTCACGAAGAGGACAATGCTCCACACACTCAGGGAGTCGCTCTTATGCTGTCCAAAGTAGCACGAAATGCACTTGTAGGATGGGAGTCTCACGGATCCAGAATCATCAAAGCATCATTCAAAACAAAGAAGGAGGGGATCTTAATGAATATTATCCAATGTTATGCACCCACCAATGATAGCAACGACGACATTAAAGATCAGTTCTACGAGCGGCTGCAGTCAATCATTGAGAAATGCCAAGAAAGGACCTAACTATTCTGATGGGAGATCTAAATGCCAAAGTCGGAATAGACAACACTGGATATGAAGATATTATGGGACGACATGGACTGGGAGAGAGAAACGAAAATGGAGAAAGATTTGCAAATCTATGTGCATTCAACAAATTGGTCATAGGAGGCACAATATTTCCACACAAGCGTATACACAAGGCTACATGGATCTCACCGGACCACACTACAGAGAACCAAATAGATCATATTTGCATCAACAAAAAATTCCGAAGGACAATGGAAGATGTGAGAACCAGGAGAGGTGCTGACGTAGCTTCAGATCACCACCTAGTTGTAGCCAATTTAAAACTGAAGCTAAAAAGAACTGGACAAGTGGACAAACAGCACTACAAAGGTTCAATACAGCCTTCCTTCGAGATACTGACAAACTCAATGAATTCAAGATAGCTCTCAACAACAGGTTCCAAGCCTTACAAGATCTACTGAAGAAGAAGAAACTACTATGGAGGACAACTGGAAAGGCATCAAGGAAGCATTAACTTCAACGTGTCAAGAGGTTCTGGGCCTAAAGAAACACCATCATAAGGAATGGATCTCTATAGAAACACTGGACAAGATCAAAGAAAGGAAGAACAAGAAGGCAGCAATTAACAACAGCCGAACACGAGCAGAGAAAGTCCAAGCACAAGCTGAATACATAGAAGCAAACAAACAAGTGAAGAGGAGCATTAGAGCCGACAAGAAGAAATACGTGGAAGAACTAGCAACGACGGCAGAAAAAGCTGCTAGAGAAGGAAATATGAAACAGCTTCACGATACAACGAAGAAACTAGCAGGGAAATACAGTAAACCAGAGAGGCCGGTCAAAGACAAAGAAGGCAAGCCAATCACCGAAATTCAACAACAGCGTAACAGATGGGTAGAATACTTCGAGGAACTCCTGAATAGGCCGGCTCCAATGAATCCACCGGACATCGAAGCAGCACACATAGATCTTCCTATAGATGTCAACCCACCAACGACGGAAGAAATTAGAATGGCCGTCAGACAAATCAAGAACGGGAAAGCAGCAGGACCCGACAACATACCAGCTGAAGCACTGAAATCAGACATCGAAGCAACCACAAGCATGCTTACCTTCTATTCAAAAAGATTTGGGAGGAGGAACAAGTGCCGATGGACTGGAAAGAAGGACACCTCGTCAAGATTCCAAAGAAAGGAGATCTGAGCAAATGTGAAAACTACAGAGGCATTACACTACTGTCAATACCAGGGAAAGTCTTCAACAGAGTGTTGCTGAACCGGATGAAGGATGCAGTAGACGCCCAACTTCGAGATCAACAAGCTGGATTCCGTAAGGATCGGTCGTGCACAGACCAAATTGCAACACTACGGATCATCGTCGAACAATCAGTTGAGTGGAACTCATCACTATACATCAACTTCATTGATTATGAAAAGGCATTCGACAGTGTAGATAGGAGGACATTATGGAAACTTCTTCGACACTACGGAGTTCCTGAGAAGATTGTCAACATTATCCGGAACTCATACGACGGACTACAGTGCAAAGTAGTGCATGGAGGACAGCTGACAGATGCATTCCAAGTAAGGACTGGAGTCAGACAAGGCTGTTTACTCTCTCCCTTCCTCTTTCTTCTGGTGGTCGACTGGATTATGAAGACCTCGACATCTGAAGGAAAACACGGAATACAATGGACAGCTCAGAATCAATTAGACGATTTGGACTTCGCAGACGACCTAGCCCTCCTATCACGTACACACGAACAGATGCAGATGAAGACAGCCAGTGTAGCAGCAGTCTCTGCATCAGTAGGCCTCAGCATACACAAAGGGAAAACCAAGGTCCTCAAATTCAAAGCGGAGAACAGCAATCCAATCACTCTTGATGGCGAAACTCTGGAAGATGTAGAGTCCTTCACATACCTAGGAAGCATCATCGATGAACAAGGAGGTTCAGATGCAGACGTAAAGGCGAGGATCGGCAAAGCAAGGGTCGCATTCCTACAATTGAAGAACATATGGAACTCAAAACAACTTTCAACCAATATCAAAGTGAGAATCTTCAATACGAACGTCAAGGCAGTTCTACTGTATGGAGCTGAAACTTGGAGAACTACAACAACCACAATCAAGAAAGTACAAGTATTTATAAATAGCTGTCTACGCAAGATACTCAACATCCACTGGCCGGATACCATCAGCAATAGCCTTCTGTGGGAGAGAACAAACCAACTTCCAGCTGAAGAAGAAATTAGGAAAAGACGATGGAAATGGATAGGACATACATTACGCAAATCGTCAAACTGCATCACGAGGCAAGCCCTAACTTGGAATCCTGAAGGGAAGCGAAAAAGAGGAAGGCCAAAGAACACATTGCGTCGGATAATAGAAGCAGATATGAAAAGGATGAATTACAACTGGACGGAGCTAGAAAGGATTGCCCAGGACAGGGTTGGATGGAGAATGCTGGTGAGTGGCCTATGCTCCTTCACGAGGAGTAACAGGCGTAAGTAAGTAAGTAAGTTAATTATGCACGTGGAAACTTAGATTGATGCCCGTTTATTCCGGGTATTACCTTGTATCTGTTCCTGTATAACTACTGTTCAACAAGTAGTTATAAACCCACAACAGAACTGTTCTGTAAAATACATTTCGATCACGAGTATAATAAATACATATTTGTCAGTCCGAAAATTTATGTATTGTCTCATATATCTCTAAAACAGCAAAGATTATTCAGCTTAGTAGGTAGATAACCACATTGGGATAGCATGCTTCGATTCATTGAAATCAGTACGATTAAAGACTTTAGCTCAAAGAAATGTAACATTCTTTTTTCATACTTTCTGAACATCTATTAGTGATTAAACAATCAATGTTTAATTGACTTGTAAACATCCAATAAATTTTGCAATTTGTCCTTCATATTATTTACTAACTTGCTTACGGTTGTTACCCTCTTGAAACATAGGCCGAGGACCAGCGATCCCCAACTAACTTTGTCTTGAGCTATCCTTTGCAGCTGTTGCCAAGTTTTACTCATCCTCTTGATGTCGGCCTCAGAACCCTGCACAATGTCTCCTTTGGTCAGCCTCTTTTCCCTTTCCCTTGAGGATTCCAAGTAGGAGCTTGCTTTATGATGCAATTTGATTTCACAATGTGTGTCCTATTTATGCCCGGCTTCTTTTCATAATTTGCGCCTCACCTGGACGATGGTTTGTTCTCCGCCACAGTAGGTTGTTGCTGATGCTGTATGACCTACAGATCTGGAGCATCTTGTGTAGAAAACTGTTTAGAAAAGCCTGTACTGCTTTGATTATGATTGTAGTGGTTCTCCACGTTTCAGATATCCAAACTTGAACTGCCTTGACATTCGTATTGCAGACTCCAAATTGGGTGTTTGCTGATAAGCTGTCGTTTTGAGTTCCAGGTATACTTCAACTGTAGGAATACTATCTATGATTCACTAATCCGTTTCTCCGAATATGCATCAGATCCTCCTTGTTCATCAGTGATGATATAAAACTTTCCACCTCCGATCCGCTCTGTCAAATACTTTTTCATAGCCAAGGAAATCGATGTTCAGTGACAAATTCCATCTCATCGATTGTTCAACGATGATCCTTAAAGCCATGATTTGGTTGGCATATGATCGATAGTCAGTCTGTTGGCCTTCAAGTTCGGTGCATACTGAATCTTTCATCCGGTTGAGCAACCCTGTTGAAAACCCTTCTTGGTACCAGTAGTAGCGTGATACCTCTGAATTTTCACACTTGCCCGGATCTCTTTTCTTTAGTATCTTCATGAGTTGTTTTTCTTTACAGTCTGTCTGTGGCATTTGTTCCTCCCTGCCAGTTTCTTCGTCGTATCATGTAGTTGTCTTATATTTCCTTCTGTTGGAGCTTTTTCCACCGTCGTTGCTAGCTGTTCCACATATTTCTGCTTGTCAGCTCTAATGCTCTTCTTCACTTGCTTGTTTGCTTCTATGTATTCAGCTTGTGCTTGGACTATCTCTGTTCGTGTTCGATTGTCGTTAACTTCTGCCTTCGTGTTCTTCCTTTCTTGAATCCAGAATAGGGTTTCCGTAAAGACGCATTCCTTTTGATGATGCTTCTTAAGGCCCACAACCTCTTGACATGTTGAGGTTAATGCTTCTTTGATACTTTTCCAGTTGTCCTCCATAGTAGTTTCTTCTTCCGTCAGTAGATCCTGTAAGGCTTGGAACCTGTTGTTGAGAGCTATGTTGAATTGGTTGAGTTTGTCAGTATGTGGAAGGAAGTATGTATTAAACCTTTGTAATGCTGTTTTCCCAGTTGTCCATTGCTTCTTTAGCTTCAGTTTAATCTTCGTGACTAGACTACAGTAGCATCTCTCCCGAATCTAACTTTTTCTGTTTAACTTGGGTTCAATGGGTTTCATTTATTCTAAGGACTACCAAATTATATCTTCTCACTTTCCGGAGAATCTAGGCCTCCTCTAGCAAGCGCCATCACTCTTCTAAGTATAGAACCTCCAAATTTCGAGGAGAGTTTGAATGGTTAAAGTTCTTTTCTGTGGGATATAATCTCTAACCACAAGTTTAACCCGTTTCCTTTATCTTGGCTTGGGATAGGCAGAAACCCTAGAGGGCTCTAGGTGGAGTTTATCATTTATGTTTACACCATTATATATTGTTCATTTTGTAGCTTCTCCCCAGGCTATCACTAAACTGTATCATATTAAGTCCACGTGGACATCGGCAACTATATTTTGGAAGCCAGGTGGATATCATAGTTCATCAGTGAATATGTCATACCAAGATCTCTTAAACAATTCAGTCGATGGAATTCGAAACAAACTTCAAAATTCATTATCCATTTGGCTTAAAAACATTCAGGATATGCAACAATATTCTGTTACTTTGGAAGATCATGGAATTACTTCTTTTTTAACGAATGGAACCGAATCACATTTACTAGATCCTTCCGAGTCACTGAACAACTCAGATAACTTTAATGGTCCATTTTCAGTTCATTCAAGTGACACTGACTTATCAAATATCAAGGGGAGAAAGACCAACAAAAGAAAGATATTACAAAATGAATTTCTAATAAATACTGAAGGACAAAATTACATCAATATAAGCGGTAAGAAGGATCACCATTAAAGATTAATTAATTAATTCAGCTCACTGAAGACAATGGTTTACGGTGGCGCGATTTCGTGGATTGGTTGAAGTTAGACATTAACAGCGTTAGATACCGGCCAGCTCAGTGGTTCAATGGTTAAGCGCCCGCGGAAGACGGGATGGCGGACGCGCACTGTTGAGGAGTCCCACAATGGGACGAAACGGCCGTCCAGTGCTTCCAGGTTTTCTGTGGTGGTCTAGCTTCAAATGACTCATGATTTCAACTATTGAAATTAATTAATTAAATTCATTTTCTTTGTGTGTATAAAAGCGACTACCGGGATTTCCTTTAGGTCTATAACACTTTATAACTGTGGAATGATTGTGCTGTTCTGATATGAAAGGTTTTATTACGTACTCAATAACGGCAGCTGGCACATAACATGTCAACAGCGTGCTGCTAATACAGGATGAAAGAGTAGCAGCAACTAGATATTTGAACAGGACAGTTTAATATGGATACTAACATAAACATGACCTTCAAACACAGAAAATAAACGAATTAAGAGTCATGGCAATTGATCAAAAAAGGCTGAGGGTCATGTGAAAAAGTAAATTATAAATAGGACTGACAGTTGACTTTACTAGTAAGAATTTAATACCATCAACTGATAAGTCTGCTCCCTGAATTCTACTTGTTTCTTATAACCACAGACCACTCCTATACTCGTAGTTGGAATATAAGCAGCTCAAAATAAGAGTAAAAGTTTCATTGTAAATTCTATTTACAAACATAGTTTTGTGTGAACTTGGTCTTCCAGAAGCTTCTACAAGCACACAACAACATGGGCAATTATCTAACAAAGATCCTTCATTTTTTATATGCTTCTCAAAGGCATTTATTCAAATCTAATTCTATTAAACATTGAGTGGCTAATATCATATTCTCCTTATCCCTTATGAAATGAAGTGTATTTATATGACAGGTACTAGGAAAATTTAGTTTATCTGTTTCATTGTCAATGATTAAGATCCGAAATTTCACGGAATCATTATAGTTTTCTGGTTCTTTTGAGGAAAATTTCATTTCAAAACGATGAAAGATGTGATCGTACTAATGGCTACAACTTTTATTCATGTTATATCTAATATTTAATGAATAAAAAGAAAAACTGAGTTTTGTAGAACTTGATACGATAATTAATCTGTTCAACTGCTACAGATACTATCGGCCTACAAACATAGAAAGTAAATCAAACATAAATTTCAATAAGAATAAAGCTACATAATATCTGGTCACCAATTTTTTTAAAATTTTCTGGACCCTGTTGAGTTCAAGAACCAATGATTTCATGGTTCAAAACCCATCTTCATCTGAACAAAGCTGATTCTTGGTCATCAACCGAGGTGGAGAACTACGAACTAAGTGAGATAAGGATTATCACGTTTAGTTAATTTTATATATGTGGTTATAACGGGCCAACTATTTTTCTCATGTTCATAATATTAGCCTTTAGCTTTTCTAATATCATGTTTTATTTTTTACTGAAGTTAGTACATCCGTCTATCACTTGTGAACTTAATTTGCATTAACTTTTATTTTGTTTCACGACATGTTACTTAATATTACTGAGTAGTTTGAGTATATTCATTTATTTATTTGTTGTGTCCTACAACGAAGTATTTGTCCAATCACTGTTTACCCCTAATTCCACATTTTATCTAATTCTTTCCCTTGCAATTATATTCGCACTTTTGTCTTTATTTGGTTTCCATGTTCACTATTTTTTTCTGAAACTACCTTTAATGGTCCTTTGGTTTTCGTGTCAGCCAGTGATGATACACACGCTTTATAAGTCTGCTGATTATATATATAACATGACACAGTTTTACTCCTATTTATACATGTAAAAAACTCAATAATCCTCTCAATATATTTCTAATGCATTAACCGACGCTGCTATACTTCGAGGATTTCGAAATTTTAATGTCTCTCATAATAGCATAGAGTAGTCAGATAAGTTTACCCTTTCGATTTAGAAATCTATTTACTTTGTGAGAAGTTTTGGACACTGTCTACAATTCTAAACGTTAAATCTTGAGTATTTTATGTTATCTATAGTTCTGTATTCTTAAGTCTACGGAAATAAATTTTCCTTTTTAGTCTCGAAATTTGTTCAATGTTTTTATGTTTATATAGATATGAGAATAATCAAGCATCTATTTTTACAACATATTTTAACATCAGGTTTAATGCCAAATCACCTGTATACCGTGACAATTTCAAGAATAAATAAACATGGAAAGAGTAAACCATCTAAGCCACTGGCCTTCAGAACAAAATGTAAGTTTCATGTACCACTGTTACATAAAAATGGTCGTATTGATAACGCATAGGAAAATTTTAGTGGGGCCATTTTATTTGTCGTCATTTAGATTGGACGATGTTGTCGAAAGGCTCTCCACTTTAGTGGTTCGAGTTCTGACTTTAATTCGATCGTAATTAATGAATCCTCGTTTATAATCGTCGAATTAAATCACGTTAGTCAATAACGGAATTAAACAAGTCAAGTAACGAGAATGGACTTGTGAATACATGTATTTCGTATATAAAGCGAATGGAATAAAGAGAAGAGAAACGATGCACAGTGGAGATGGCTGGTAAGCCAACTCCCCTTTAACCAAGCGTTAATCAGTATTGACAGTTACACAAAAGCAAGTTACATACATGTGATGAGTAGTGGGATAAGAAGTGTACACACACCAACGCACTCATATAAAAACAGTCAAGATTGATAAGCGGATAAATAACAAGGTCAGAATGTGACTCAAGTAGAATGAATCGAATGGGCTGTCGGAAAGCTAGAATAAGGTATATGGGTTTAACATAATAACCGACAGTACAAAATAAGGGTTAAACAAACGATTAAAAAACTGTATTGAAGACCTAAACTTGAGTGGATAAAATGCAGTTAGGTATATTAAGCTGTTAATACTATCCAATAAATGTTGTGTATTAAACGTTACTACTGGTTTTTAAGTCTTTAGACAATTCATATGTTTATAATCGAGAAAATTAGTATTATTTAACAGGCTATATCCTGGCTTATTTTTGATTTTTCCATATCGAAATTACTGTTGAGAAACAGTAAACAAAGAAAAAATCTGGTAGTATCCATTTTAAATCGATTAGTTACGTTAATATAAATTTTCATGAGTATTTAAACAATTAGTTTCATAAAAATTGGGTGTGGCATAAAGATTTCAGTAATTGCAATTAATCTGTTCAAAGATAACAATACAAAGAACATACAATCTGATAAGATCGAATAATTACTATTAACTAGTAAGAAATTTAATTACTCACATCTATACCATGTACAAAATTCAATAACTAGACTTAACTCTATAGTTTTCTAGCTTATAATGTCCTCGAAAGTTTAATTTTAATGATTTTCATGAAGAAGTTCAGATCGAACCATGGCGTCAACATTGAAATTATTTACTTTGGCTTCCAAGATCTTCATAAATATAATTTTGTATCAAATTATTAGCTTTTGCTCAGCTAAGAGTTTTTACTTGACTATTATTTCCATAACAAACAGAATAGTAACGATATACTAAATCATGTGGTTATTCCAATCTAGATTACTAACAAACTGTTAAGACTTTAGTATAAAAGAAGTAACTGGCTTTTGAACAATCATAATACGAAGATCCACCACCGAATATTACATCGTGTTGACCGATTTACGTGTGGGTGGCAAATTTCACGTCCATCGAATCTTAAATACCACAGATTACTAGTGAAACAAAATAATGCCACCAGTCGTGCTGAGAAAAAGTTCATACAGAAAGAATAAAAAAAACTAAATATCTGAATTAGGTTGATGGGTTTTAAATAATCAGATAAAATCGCACGTAAAAACTATTTCATTCAAAACAGGGATTTTCGTGTCATTGTTCTTGTGACAGTAGTAACAACAAGAATAGGAAAGATGAATGTACAACTAAGGGTAATAGGAAATGTTTTGTAAGACAGTGCGAATTATACAGATTGAGGAAGGAACAAAATTGGAGCTATGAATAAAACGACCATAATTTGTGCCAAGATAAACAAAGAGGTTTCATATATCTGTTATATTTCTTTAAGTTGATACCAGTTGCTTCAGCTGTATGCAGTCAATGTAGTATTGCGTCTGTTGGTAGACCATTTGGAGCTTAACAGATAACTGAGAAAGTGTCTTCAATTTTAATCTTGTATCTATAAAGTTGGAGAGAATGACACTAATTGTAAGTTTTGTAATGGCATTTCCTGGCCATACCGGAACGTGTTCACCAGCGCACAGATATGAAGACCTTTGGGTGCGACTTATGTAACTAGCCCACAAGAATAGCTATATTGGCAAACAAGCACAGATGATACAATTACTATCATTCTATCAATAATGTGCTGCTTTAGACCTGGCTTCGTTGAAAAAGTCAGTTGTTAATTAGCAGCATAACAAGTCGTTTTAAGATATCTGCTTAGTCGACATGTTAAAATCTCATCCTGTATCACCTTTTAAATAACGTATTAAATATAAATATTTTTTGAACTGTTAAGTCTAACTATTTATTGTCTTATTAAATTACTAGGTTATTCATTTTGTAGTTTGTTTGACTCATTTTTTGTAATTTCCACAGAAGAAAAAGAGAAAACTTTCACCTACTAATCACATAAATCTTAGTTAGCAATAGTCTAAATCGACACCACTCATAAATACTCACAACTTAATTCCTTTAGTTTTAATTTGGTGATTACACTTGGTATAGTTGATACTTAAAAGTAACAATTCTCTATAATATGTTAGATCTGACTGTCAACGAATGTTAGTCAGGAGAAATTACATTTCATAAGGCTCTTTTGCATAAATTTTAGTTGCATTTGATTGATATATAGTAGTAATATATACATGATTTGTTCTGTATATTCCTACATTTCTCCTTACAATCTAAGAATTATATTTCAGAATTTAATGTGAATAAATTGAGTTAATTATAAGTGTTCCTCTTATCTTTGCAACTATTTCATAGTGTTGTTCCATATCATGACAATTCTAGTTGAAGACAATCATCAAGAAACCTTGTTTGACTTTAGTTTTCTACCCGTTGGCATACCTCATTAGAGTCTATTTACATTCTTTCAAAGACCGCTACTTGCTTGCAGAGTGATTCTAAGGGCGACAAAATGTAACAAGATATTAAAACTTTATTATAAACGGAAATTAATTATGAATTATGCTCAGAAGAGGTTTTGTGTATAGTATCGAAATTTCAATGGTTCAGATAATGAGTCAATTGAAGCTAGACCATCATAGAAAACCTGGAAGCACTGGACGGCCATTTCGTCCTATTGTGGGACTCCTCAACAGTGCGCATCCACCATCCCGCCCCCCGCGAGATTCAAGTCCCATACTAGGACGAAACAGTCGTTCAGTGCTTCCAGGTTTTCCATGGTGGTCTAACATCAATTGACTCATGATTTCAACTATTAATTATGCCTTAATAACAATATTAAAAAACAAAACATTGTATTCATTTTATCAAAACATTTAGATAATTCAATAACAAAGTGTTTCAATTTAATATATCTTTATATATATCACGTGATAGTCCAAGATTATCAATTTCTAACTTACTAAATAACAGACAACCATATGTATCTAGTCCATAATAGAATGATTTTTCTAACTGATAAACAATTTGAATTGTAAACATCAGTTGTCTTTTAAAACAAAATGAACAATTTATCAATGTTTTATTGTTTTAAAATTAACAAAAGTATTTCTAAGTGTTAATGTTTATTTACCTGATTACCAGAGTAAATAATTAGAATTCATTTAAAGATAAATAAAGATCCTTCAAGAAAGTACCTTTTTTTGTTTAATTTAACGGTAATATTCGCTGAATATCGATGAATTCATTGTATTTCGTTACTTTCTCTTTAATTACATATAATCTAATATGTTTACTTATTTCCATAAGATACATATAATGTCGGAAGACGAATATTTATAGTATCGGTTATTATGTTAAACCCATATACCTTATTCTAGCTTTCCGACAGTCCATTCGATTCATTCTACTTGAGTCACATTCTGACCTTGTTATTTATCCGCTTATCAATCTTGACTGTTTTTATATGAGTGCGTTGGTGTGTGTACACTTCTTATCCCACTACTCATCACATGTATGTAACTTGCTTTTGTGTAACTGTCAATACTGATTAACGCTTGATCAAAGGGGAGTTGGCTTACCAGCCATCTCCACTGTGCATCGTTTCTCTTCTCTTTATTCCATTCGCTTTATATACGAAATACATGTATTCACAAGTCCATTCTCGTTACTTGACTTGTTTAATTACGTTATTGACTAACGTGATTTAATTCGATGATTATAAACGAGGATTGGCGATAACAAACATTCATTACGATCGAATTAAAGTCAGATCTCGGGCCACTAAATAGTCAATCAATAATGAATTAGTTATATGTAATATGGAAGAAGCTGAGAATTAAGCATTGAAAGGGATTTTCTTTATAATTACCTAAGTTAATTGTTCTAGAATCTTAAAATGGTTTTATTACACAATATAACAAAAAAACGTCCAGGAATATAGATAAGAAATGAGGATGTGTGAATTAACTATACTAGTTGATGATCACATTACAATTACGTAACGTAATTGTTTCAATACTCTCAACTATTTAACAACTTGAGTAATTATATGAGGGGTCACTTTAAAAGCTTAATTTTCAAATTCTTTCATACTGCACATAACTTATTCGTTATTGATTGATAATTCATATTTTTTTAGATTGAACATTATAGTAATAACTGGAAAGAATTAAACAATCAGTTTGTACAAGGCAGCGAAATACTAATATTATCGCCTTACTTTATTTAATGTTGGATGATGTTGATGGAGTTTTGTTCGCTGAGCCAGATGGTTTGTTCATTGATCTTTGATTGTTCTCCCGAACGATATCATCAGCACAAATCTGTCATTAATTGCCTTTATTGATTGATCAATAAACACAATGAAATCGATCCAATTTATCAACTAATCAGACAAATATAAGATCAAGAATCAAATCAATAGGAGATGAAATCAGAATAAAAAAGTAACAATGACAGGTTAAAGGTCAATAATAAACAATCATGATCGAAGTCTACAGGACAAGCTGTGAGTCATATGTGGAGAAATTCGGACACTTCACTACAACTTGGAACTTGTGCTGATGATGTCGTTCAGAAGAACAATCAAAGCTCAATGACCAAACTATCCAGCTCAGCGAACAAAACTCCATTAAAATAGAAAATAAGTATATGAAGTGGGTTGATTTGTATCTGAATGTCTTCTGTCATTTAAACCACCTTCGACAACTCCCCCTTAGCATTATTGTTGAGAATAACAGGTGATATTTAACCTTATGTTTTGCTCAGGTTTGATGAACTAGGATAGACTGTTAACTGTCTTAATTATACTTTATTTGATCTCACGGAAATGTATTTACAAGCAAAGTGAACCAAATTTCTAGAACAACAGCAAGATAATTCCATGCCTAACTTGTTTGTTATTCAAAGGTATACGATAGTCGTTACTTTGAAACAAAATAAAAACTTTGCATTATCAAACAAAAGCATAAAAATTCTATACGCTTGTCAGGATTATGATTCAAGGGTATGAATCAACAGATAATACTACTCGTACAGAGGATTTAACTAGAAATAAAATAAGGTTATCCCTATGTTTATAGAATCTTCATTGGTAAAGACAGTATTTTCTCAAAACATTTGACTTTCGAAATTTGAAAAATATAAGTGATTAATGTTTTAAATAAGAATAATTACAATTCGGAATTCAACTACATAAAATAACAATAGTAGTAGTACGTATTCAGATGATATTTATACTTATTACGAAAACTCGAGGTAGATTCTAACTCAACGAAACGGTTACATCTGATTCCCCTAAACCAAGAGATTGTGTTATTATTAAAAAAGCAATGTCACTTAAACGAATCTTCAATCTACATGTTTCCCAATAATACACAGCTGTAAAACTATAACATGCTCAGTTAAGAAGGGAATTCGCCCTTCAAATAAGTGAATGTGAATAAATTTATAGTATGTTCAACAAACACCACATAACTTTGCCAAGTGAGTAATAATAATTAATATAACCAATATTTTAATCAGCCTTTTCAGTATAAACAATATATCGACAAGTAATACAGGTTTTATAGACCAAAAAGAAGAAATTATACAAAGGTAGAGGAAATGGACTGATACGATTGTTGCACATTAACATTTCATTGCGTTCAGGATGCATGTGAAATAATGCATAAAAGAAAATTGTTGAATGTAAAGTAGCTACTGAATATAATTAAGTAGCATGATTCAGCACACAAAATTGGTAGAGAGGAAAATAATGTTATGACTTTGCAGTCAATTCAGTGCAGTTTTTCAATGAGCCGTTTGCAAAGCCAACAGATATTGAACACGTAGTTTATAAAGCTTAAATAGTAGCCTTTATTTTATTGTAGCTGTGTGTCATCAAATGGTTAGAAAGTTGTAGTAATATTCCTTGCAACCACTTTGTTTTTATCTCCATTACATAATTTTATCCGGGATAGTTTTATTGACTTACTTATTGATGTCGTGTTATAAATCGGAAAGTTATTCGCTTCAACTAAACTTTTATGTAGGTAATGTGGACTATTTATTTAAGCGTGTTACAGATCCATATGAATATCAAAAGAGTGACAATTCTCATATGAAAACAATTTTCATCTGAGCTCGTTTTGATATTATTTGTAACTGGTCACGTAATTTTTGCAGTGACCACGTTATCGTTATTTCAGGCAGCAAAACGTGCTAGCTACTGTGAAATCACCCTATATCTGCGGCCCTCTTCACAAGAGTTCACAAATTTTTAAATATACATTCCGTAAAGTGATTTCGCACTTATTTAGTTTTTATGCACATCAGTGTCGAACCCGGATAAACTTAGTTTATCAATTCAAAAAGACTATATCACTCTCTTAACTACCTTATAATAATTGCCATTAAACAAAATATTTATAATTTTACCAGAAATATCACATACATAGTATAATCTGGTACATAGGGATTTTAAAGTTCATTACAAATGCCGTATCTATTGAGTGTTCTTTGAATGTTTTGTCTTACTTTTTTTTTCTAAAGTTCTTCACCTTGAACTTCCCGGTCCTATACATTTAGAGGAAACTAAGGGACTAATACAATTTTCCAAAGGTAATCCAGCTCTCTGTGCTCAAGTTGAAGTAGGTACCATCAACAATGATAGTAGTAGTAGTAGTACGAGTACTACTACATGGAATTCAATACATTTTTCATCAAATTATTCACCTTATATCATTATAAATAAAAATACATTCCATTCTGAAACAAACAACCGATATATAGAGTTAAGTAATTGTAAACCATTATCATGGGATCACTATACAGAAATTCCAATCACATTACAAAATAACTTTCATTTTCGAGCAAGATATTGTATTTATGGATACAGCACAATGTGTACAGAATATATCAAACCGATCAAAGGTAAGATTGAATTTGAAAGTTTGGTATTTCTGTTTTTGAAAAAAAAATTACCTTTAGAATATATTATGGAAAAGATATTCTTTTAGTTAAACTTAACATACAGTAGTGGTTCAGAGTTCTATTTGATAGTTTATCCATGACAATATTTACTTCATCCCACATGAGTGAAGAAAAGTAAACTTATTAACAAACTGTATGCATCTTCACGAATTAAGACAAGATAAACATTCGGAATTAAAACGTGTGAACTAAGTAAACTGGTGCAATCTACTTTCTTCTACAGTCATTTATAGCTTGCCAAATATGGTAACTACTTTAAATAACTTCAAGGCTGTTTAAACTTAGTAATTTGTACACGATCGTTTTAATGAAGATCAACGGATGGTCCGTGCTAAAGTGTCCCGAAATAGAATGGACAAATATTGACAGTACTACCTAATTTTCATTAGTTTCTCAGTTGATATCAATGTGGAAATAAAGTTACGTTAAAACTTAGTGATAATTATTCACTTGGATGATAAACTTACTAAAGTAATTGCCTTGAAGATTGTTGCTTCTAACATAAAAGTTTAATACTATTCCGTCGATTTTCTTTTTTCATCTGGAAATAAATTCGCTTCAACAAAGATTTTGCTTTAATAGTTGAATTTATAAGTCAATTAAAACTAGACCATCATGAGAAACCTAGAAGCACTAGACGGCCGTTTCATCCTAGTGTGGAACTCCTCAGCTGTGCGTATCAACGACCCCGCCCAGCAAGATTCAAACCCAGGACCTATCGGTTTCGCGCGCGAACGCTTAACCCCTAAACCGCCGTTTATATTACCATGCTACAACGTAATGTGCATGTTTGCTTATGTTATTGATTACCTGAAATGATATGATTTTGTGATCAATTGATGAACGATCACATAGCGTGAATTATTGACACTAAATCTCTACAAATTGAACAGATATCGATCGGCAATATAACTGGTCAACAAAAGTGAGTCAACACATCTAACAGAGTTGTTTAATAATACAAAACTTAAACTTCATTAAAATTATTTTAGACATATCATTGATTACATAATAGGAGTATTAGCTTAAATCTATGATACGTACTCAATAATTTATGTCTACATATTCACGAAGAGATAGTACACTGTATAATTTTTTCGTTTAATGCTACAGTTAAGATGACCGAGTCAGTTGGGTAACATTAGAAAATGCTCACGATTGTTAATTTCATACATAGGTTCCTAAATTTCAACTAAATGAATTTTGGAAGGCAGAATCATTAACCAAGTAGCAAAGTATATGACCATATATTATGACAATTTGGTCATTATTCGTACATGAAATATTCAGACTATTAGTGAACTGTGAATTAACAAATCAATGAATAAGTATAGAAATATAGGTTACAAAATAATTCATAATTATTTATTTCTTTAATGCATAAGAATATTTACCAAATGACTTATTCTTACTGTTTATTATACAAGCAAACAATGTTTGTTTCTAATTAAGGAAACAATAATGAAGTATTGAATTTAACAATATTCTTTATTGTTTACTCTTTGTGCTATCAAAAACAAATAATGTCTGCACTATTAAACAGAAATATTTCTATTGAAGAATGTATTCAGGATATTGTTGAGGTCTTACGATTTGCTTGTAGTACACGTGGCATTGGTGAATAAACCAACCAATTGAACTCTTGAATATCACTTCAATTAAATACAGATAGAAGTGGTGAGATCATATAAACACGTCTAATTAATTACTACGGTATAATGGTTCTGTTAGTCAGTGTTAAATATGTTCACATGACAGTGTTTGGAATTCAAAGAAAGTTATATTTAGTTTCTCTTGAGATTATCATTGTTATCTACTATGGATTGAGTAGACTAAGTAGAAACATACAATTGTCAGCTGATCCTAAACGGAAATACGTTGAATCATCATATCAAACAAACTGTCATAAAGAGTTGTAGTTATATGAAAGAATGGATTTCTTTATAACTGTGACATTGACATTTCACGTTGTCTAATGAATAATACAGACGATTTAGATTGATATTTGAGTTGACAGAATGGTAGACGAATTCTGGGATGTGTTCAAGCTACCGACCACTTCCTTACAGCTACTGATAAACTTGTTCCCAGTTCAAACAAGATATTGTTTCATTAGATCAATGATTTTCCTAATGGTTAACACTGAAAATACATACTGGTTGGGACATGCATACCATTATGCAACTCGGAGAAAAGATTCAGATATTATTTATGACACAGAGTTTATTATCATAATCAAGGCTTGATATTGTTTAAATTATCAATGTTTTGTTTGATCACATAATGGAACACTTCAGTGGTGACAGCTGAGCATTTAAAGACAACCTTTGGTCTTTTGCTAACTAGATGGAGTCTAAGATAAATTCATCACTTCCAGCTAAATTCACGTATCTTATATGTGAGAACACATAATTAGCACATTTGTTGTGATATCGCACTTCTGACTAGCTCTAAAACTCTAGCTCTGATGATGTTCATTTTGCTTGAATTGATCGATGAGAACCAGGACTATCGAACATTGTCCACGACATATTTATTTGAATTAATAGTAATAATCATGCAAAAACTGACGATTATTTCAAGAATGAACAAATTAACTATCCATTAATTTCAATATTTCATGTCGTTTTCAAATGAAGCAGGCCTAGAACTACCGTAATACCCCTTGAAATAGTGTATAATTGTTCGTTATTTCAGTTCGAGTTTTAGCTCTATCAAAACCTTTTCAGGAAAGTTAAAGTATCAATCGTATAACATCTCAAATATCTCAATTTCCATGTGAAAGTTTTTTTATAAGATGCAGCTAAATAATAATATAAAGTTAGGAATAACTAGACACCTCTCTTGTCCTTGACAGTAAATAATCTTTGCCGAAAACAAAGTTTATGTACACATAGTTAAATATTTACTTAGTAATTTTAATCAATATTCATTCGACATCATTAGAAAGACAGAGCTTTAACCACTACATCGTCATTTCCTCGATAATTTGTAACTAAGTTGCTGTACAGTTTGAAGATTATAAACCTTGGCAACAGGGCTTCACAATGATTTACCCATTAGCTAGAAATAATCAGTTCCTAATGGTAAGGAGTTTCTTTAACGGATGAACTGATTTTTTTTAGAAATCACTTTATCATATTATTCTTGACAGCATCAAAAAACCATTCCTATTCTATTTAATATCAATTTTTCGAAAACATAATGATAAAAATCTGACGATTAGTGTTTTTCACAGATTGAAATCGTGAGTCGATTAAAGCTAGACCACCAAGGAAAACCTGGAAGCACTGGACAGCCGTTTCGTTCTAGTGCGGGACTCCTCAGCAGTGCTCATCCACGTTGTGAGATATCAGCTCACTGATGACAATGTTATACGGTAGCGCAACTTCGTGGATTGGTTGAAGTTAGACATTAACACCGTTGGATGCTGGCCAGCTCAGTGGTCTAGTTGGTTAAGCGCTTGGCGCGAGACTGATAGGTCCTGAGTTCGGATCTCGTCGGGTGCGAGATCGTGGGTGCGCACTGCTGAGGTGTCCCATACTAGAACAAAACGGCCGTCCAGTGCTTCCAGGTTTTCCATGGTGGTCTAGCTTCAATTGACTCATGATTTCGATCTGTAAAATTTCTTCTGATTAGTGTTTTTATTACTGAAATAGCTGAATACATCTTGAAATTATAATCTCTGTTGATTTATTTATTTATTTTTTGGACTTTTTTGTTTTTCGTAACAGATATTTCAATGCACATAGTCATTGTAGCTGCTCTACTGTGTATTACATTAGTAGTATCATTAAGTAGTATGTTTGTTTATCTTATATGCAAGCATATGAAAAAAGATTACATTTAGTTGATAACAATAATATCAAAATAAATCAAATCATCAACCTAATCACCATCCAACGTTTATATAATAATCAACATAGTATTTATCATAAAACTGAATGAATATCATTACTGCTTATGAACTTATTAAATTTCAAGCATTTGCTGGTTTAATACAATTGGCTAATTAACTTGACCAGTTTATTTTAGTATTGATGAATGTGATACGAAATTGGACAACTTATACAATAAACTAATGACTTCCTAGCAAATCAGTTTACTATGAATTACGGTTGAAGGTTGAAAAATATTCCATTCCTTTTGTGTAAAAAAAATATTAATCGTCTTCAATTGTTTTTTTTTTTTGTTTTGTTTTGTATCTTAACACAGAACGTCTTGTATTTATTACCTTTAATTTCATTAGCAATATTGATGTCATTTCAACGTGAGCTAATTAGAGATTATGTTGTTAATTTGATATGATTTCATATTAAAAACATTTGCTGATGTCGACTGTTTGTTGTAGTTAAATGAAATGACTTAAATAGTGGGGTTTTAACAACATTTAGTAGAAAAAAATATATTCAAAATCAAGGGAAATCATTTTTCAACAGTTGAGATCATGAGTCAGTTGAAGTTAGACCACCATGGAAAACCTGGAAACACTGGACGGCAGTTTCGTCTCATTGTGGAACTCCTCAGCAGTGCATATCCACGGCCCCGGCTAGCGGGATTCGAACCCAGGACTTATCAGTCTCGCGCCAGGCAAGTGTAGCTAGAACAAACAATTTGCAGTATAAAATGAATTTAATTGAGTTTGGTTCCCTTTTTGCTTCAAAACGAGCTAAGAAATTTATTACCATTATTCTGTACAAAAATGGTTCAATTCTAACTCGATGAACAGTAATTGAGATAAACTGATGGATTTTGGCATAAAACTGAAATGATGGAATAACTGAATGAGGGGTATTTAAGGAAGAAACATAGACTGTGGGATAATTAAATTGTCTTCTTAGCTTCAGTAAACGGAATACACCCATTAAGAAATTAAGTAAGAATGATTAGCTCAGCGAAGAATCCTCTTTTCGGTGAATTCATTTTCAAAGCGGTACAATCGCAAATATATATACTTTTTTACAGGATGATAATAATACTGATAATAAACTTCTGTTAGACATGGTGATAGTGAGGTAAAATAAACAAAGGTATTAAAAATTTCTTTGTTTTATAAAACAAGGAAAGTTTAATTGTTAATGGCTTAATTTTTCATCAAAAACAGATAGGGAAAATTATCAACGGGAAAGGATGGCTCAGTATGATAAGATAAAATGGTGAAATTGAGAATACATGTAATCAGAATGATCGTGGAAACAAAATAAACTAGTTGGGGGTAGAGGATTTAAGGGGAAGAATGGAAGGTGAACCAGATGGCTGTAAAGGAAGGAGAGTATGAGAAAGAGAATATATAAGACATTAGGACCGTGGTTGAAGAATAGGTTGTACCAGCCGTTTTTGCACACACAATTTTGGTTCTTCCAGATGTATAGCTAATGCTTCGGCAACGCAGAGAAGATGCAGCCTAATATTCTTTGGAAGACTTCTACTTACCTTGTAGATGACTTTGAACGCAGAGTCTGTCTTGATTGAGTGACCTATGTTCACGAGATGTTCGATTACTGAACCTCTTATTGAGCCGTTGCCTCCTCTTTCTAGTCACGCCTGACAATGTTCTTGAATTCTTTTGGATAGCTTCAGTCGATGCTTCGTTGAAACTCTACTAATAAGAGCTAAAAAGTTGTGTTTAACCTAACAAATAAGAGGAACTCGTAAACGTTGAAAACTATGTTCCTAAAAATTGAGTAAAAATTTAATATAAAACATGGAGATTTCCCCAAAACTCATGACACTCGGTCGATAGGAAAACCTGTCTTGATTCATCTTTCATTCAAAGGGATAATATTTGAGGTAGTATCCTAAAAGAACTAAGGCGGTATTAAAAGAAGCTTCCTTGCTGTTCAACCAGTTCTTCCGTATAATTCTAAATAGTACTTAAACTGATCAAACGTAGGACATTACTCTTCGAGGTCACCTCCAATTGTATTTATAAATTTATATTTATTTTTGATAGCTGTACAAAAAGGAATGAGAGGAGGCTATTCACATGGTTCTTTGGACTTACACCTCGAAAATTATGTCTGGAAGTGGGTAATATACTGGGAGCGAACAAGAAGCTAGTATCGCAAATGCGTTCAAATAACCAAAAAGTAGCAAACAGTTCTTCCACTAAGCTATGTAGAAGTAAATGACATCAAGTTCATTCGACCTGATCCATTTACATAGAAAGAAGGTATGATAAATCTCTCATTACCACAGTAAAATATCCTACTACACGACACTTTTTACCCAAGATTTTCCAAACAATGCACTGACACTCAAAACAACTAGTCCTTCTGATTGGTTTATTATCCAGAGTTGTGATTATCCAACTGTTTATTACAATATTTTCTTAATTATCATTGTTTCCTCTCTTCTTCCATTTGTCTAGCTGAACTTTAACTTTACATATATAAATGTACTCAGCAAGTATACATGTGATCAGACTGTTCGAAATACATTACATTAATGTACCATAGTTGTCATAATCTTCATCTGTTTACTATATTAGCCACTGACATTCACATATGACATCAATTTAATGTCAACTATGTTGCTCATTTGCATTATTAGTTGTTGATTAGTTTTTACTCATTGTGTAAACTAGAATTTACGACATAACTTTCTTCTTTATGATTTCATTTTTAAAATAAACTTAAGCATCAACCTGAACTACTTATTGTTCCTAAGACTTTTTCCCCTTTTCAAATATCAATGTAAACTGTAATGGCTAAAGTTTGTTAAACTGTGCTAATTATAATATTATGACTTGTAATTTTAAGCTGTTTACAATTGATGCAAAGCTTTAGAGTAGAATGGATTCATTTTACTTTGTAAATTTTCTAATTCTTGTTGTGTTTTTTTTAATTTATCAAAAACATGGAACAATTTGTACAAAATTATAGTGTTGAATTGTATTGACAAACTAACTCAACAATATTAGAATACCAACAGGTGCACATTTAGTTCATTAAAGAATCATAAGACTTCTTAGTTCTTTCATGAATGCTGATAAACACTAAGCATGACTTCAATAATTCTTTTTGTTAGGTTACACATATCTTTTATGCAGAATGTAATACATTATGATTTCAAATTGTATTTTTCAACAGCTGGACATAATAAGGTTGTAAATTAACAAAGGATGTTTATATGTGGTAAAGTAAAGTAAATAAAATACAATTCGAGCGTTTCTATTTAAAAGTATGATGCTTTACAAATGATGGTAATTATATGTGATCAATCTCTAAATCATATCAGAAAGGTTTTGTGGATTTTATAGCGATTTCAATAGTTGAGATCATGAGTCAATTGAAGCTAGACCACCATGGAAAACCTAAAAGCACTGGACGGCCGTTCCGGCCTTTTGTGGGACTCCTCGGCAGTGCGCATCCAAGATCCCGCCCGCGGAATTCGAACCCAGGGCCTTCAGTCTCGCGTGCAAGCGCTTAACCACTAGACCACCGCCGGCATCCAACGGTATTAATGTCTAACTTTAATCTCTAAATTACGAAAATACAAGTTTTACCTAGAAATAAGCTGGAAATTCAACTTTCATTCTGATATATTCCGCCTTTTTTCATGTAATAAATGAAGAAAATCAATTATAATAATGTCATCTTAAATGCTAGATGTGTTAACTGATAAATGATATAATAAAAATGAATTTATTACGACGAATAAGACAAAAGCACCAATAACAAAATAAATTCTGTTGTGTTTCTATTTGCTTCTAAATACTAAGTAACCATGTGATCTAATCTTGGTCATTCAAGATTTAGACAAAATTAGAATGTACTTTGCACACTAGTTGTATACATCTTTGGTCAAGTCAGATAAGGTCAACAATTATTGATTTATGATTTCTTGAAAGTTCGATACTTTTCACTGATAATCTTTTTTCGAATTAATTTAATAATATACGAAATGATTTAACATTAGGGTGTAATTATCAGGATGCCTTTTTATCCTGTTGGTAAACTAGATAGATTCCGACAGTAGAAGGGCAGGAACTGAGGATACTGGATATTCTACAAATGTCATAAATTTCGTTTCTTATGTGCGATTTTGCGTCCTCTAGCTTAAATATTCACAATTTTCTAGATTTATCAATTTTTAAATAAGAAAGAAAGATTAGTTCAGCGAAGAGTTCTCTTTTCGGCGAATTCATTTTCAAAGCTGTACAATCGCAAATATATATACTTATTTTTACAGGGTGATAATACTGATAATAAACTTGTGATATACATGGTGACAGTGAAGTTAATCAATTTTTATTCAACAGCTTCAAGATTCAAGGATTTTAATGACTGAATTTTCTGTCTGAATATTCTTTATTTGTGAGTGGCACTTTAATGAGCTGTAAACTGATCAAAATATGTACAGACGGGAATATTCCAGGACCTACATTGAAGAGATGAACCAGTTTTAAGGACCCGAATTTTTATTTTCGAAAGATCAATGAAATAAAACCTGTTATAAAGGATTACCAATTTTTTCGCCAAAATTCAAAACTGTAGCATTTAGCAGGAAACTGTATAAGCTTAGATAAAAGAACTCACTATTAATTGAGCTTCAGTCATGTTTCAGACACGAAATATATTACTCGACAACTGATCAAGACTTTTTCATAATGCTAGCAATTCATTAGTCAGTCTTCATTATCTAAACCGTAGCCAATTAAATCATTCAAAATTGAAAGTTGGTTTATCAATAATCAGAAAGTTAAAACTCAATTAAGTAAGCATTCTCGTGCTTTTTAAAGTAATAAATTAAAGTTTTAGAAAGTATTGTTTACTGAATGTACATCTATCATTTTTCATCTTTCATTATTTCTATATCAACTAACTAAACTAACATTAGACCTATGAC